GTTAGCTCCCTTGAGAATGTCATTTCTTCCAGTAAGACTTCCTGAGGCACCAGGCAGAGGTGGCTCCTGTGTGCATTCAGGATGCACAGTCCTGCTTCCCTCTGTCATGGGCAGCGCTCACCAATCCCTGCACTGATTACTGTTGGCTCTCCCCTCTGGGCTCCCCACTAGGTCTTAAACTTTACGACAGAACTATTTTCTGCTAGTTACCTGTTGTGTCCTTCATACCTGGCAGAATAACTTACTGAATTAGATGCTCAATGATACTGTGTTGAAGAAACAAATTAGTGAGTAACTACTACTTGTTTTTGCCTCCAGGACTGCCTTAGATTATTTTCCAAAGAAGAAAAGCTCACAGACAACAACAGGTTTTACTGCAGTCATTGCAGAACTCGACGGGACTCTCTAAAAAAGATAGAGATCTGGAAGTTGCCACCTGTGCTTTTAGTGCATCTGAAACGGTAAAAAACATATTTTTCTGCAGTTTAGATGAAGGAAGTCTTAAGTGGTACTTCATTCTAAGTCATTTTATTGCATTGCCTGCTAAGGATGTATTACAAAGGAAGATTATCTGGTTAGGGAAACAAGGCAGAAATGAGGAGACTCCAGTTCCTTACTTTAGTGTTTGCAAGAACAGCAAAATGACAACACGGTGCTTTCAGGTCATTTCATCTTTTAAAAATTAGTGAAATTTATTGCATTTCAAATATAAAATTTTACATCATAAAAAATCCAAGTGAAAATGTATAAAATCACACAGCATAACTCTAATACAAATGATAAGTCAATAAAATTTATTGTAAACTAAGAAAAGATTTAATCCTGTGCTGAAAATGAGAATGCAGTTTTAAAGAGAAGATGTTAAGGATGCCATTGCTGGGTGCAGATATTTTTGTCCACATTTTTCTAGCCTGTGAAAAAGGTCTGGCCCTATAATAGATGGGATAATAGGGGCGCCTGGGTGGCGCAGTCGGTTAAGCGTCCGACTTCAGCCAGGTCACGATCTCGCGCTCCGTGAGTTTGAGCCCCGCGTCAGGCTCTGGGCTGATGGCTCAGAGCCTGGAGCCTGTTTCCGATTCTGTGTCTCCCTCTCTCTCTGCCCCTCCCCCGTTCATGCTCTGTCTCTCTCTGTCCCAAAAATAAATAAACGTTGAAAAAAAAAAATATTAAAAAAAAAAAAAAATAGATGGGATAATAGCAAGAGAGTTGTAAAATCTGTCCCAGATGTTGTCTTTTGATTCTTTTATCTTTATGGAATCCATTCATGGAGTGATAACTATGAATCATTATTTTGAAAAACTTTTTAAAAGGAGGTTTCATCTTTTTATTGAGAGCTGTAATTTTTGTCTCAAACGAAGCATTTCTATTTTAATTATTTGTTTCATTTTGTATTATTGGAAGTTCTTAGGCAATTACTTTTGTTAGTTTCTATATTGACGTGTTCAGATTCCTCACGTAAATTTTCTACCAGAAGCTTGTTCCATCAGTTTTTCTCTTCTTGAGGATTGTGGAGGTACAGATAAACATTCTATAAATGATTACACATATGTTAAGATTTCTAGTGCTGTGTATTAATTCTTTGGAGAATACAGGTATCTAAAAATATAAATGGTTCAGAATTCAGTTTTTGAAAACTAATTCTGAAATAATCTTATCGCACCAACCAAAGTACCAGTATTTTGGTGTTTAAAGGAGTAGAGTATGTCAGGATAATGGAATGCCATTACAATTCTCCCCTGCTATCCAAAAGTAGAGTGTTCCTGTGAAATCTTTCATAAGCCAAAATGGTGTAAAGCAAAGAAGCAGTTATCATTAATTTATATAGAAAATCTTTCAGTATTCCCAGACCCCCAAAATAACCTTCTCTTAGACTTTTCTAATACCTTAGGACACATCTTGCTTAACAGATGCACAAAACAGATCAAGATAAAACACAGGTACGGGCAGACAATTCAAAGCTGTGGCAGCTTGACACTGAGTATTCTGGGAAGGAGCATGGTGATGCCACTTTACCTACTCAGCAGGGTGCCTGCTGCCTCCAGCAGCCTACTGCAAACAAACGCTGCCCAGTGCTGCTTTCCCCTTTTCACCTTTTTTCTTAAAAGCAGAAACCTTCTTTGGATTTCTTTTAGGTAGCTAAAACAGGTACTCATGGAAGTCTTGTAAAAATGAAGTGGTGTAACACCAGCTTTTGAAAAGCAGGGGATACCTGTGTAGTCTGTGTGCTTATGATTTCCAGCTTCAGTTTCCCCAAAAGTACAGTCTTAACAGCTAGAGCAGCTCTCCTTAGTCTTTCCTCTGTACTCGTATGGTAGTTAGCATTATAAACCTGGGTCTTCATAACTTTTTACCTTTGCAGAAGACTCATTGAACAGTTGTCGCTAGCCTAGGGGTCAAGGGACCCAGGTGTGGCTCTGTCTCCACCACCTTAGCTTTTGACTGAGGGCAAGTCATTTCATATCTGCTCATACCTTCGTTTTCTCATTTGTAAAGTGGAAATGAAGCCAAATGTCTTTCCAGGTCCCTCCACCATTGAAATTCTGAGTGTGTTTGAAATGGATTTTCTGGTCTCACTATAAATCTAGAACATTAATGAATGAATTCAAGTCTTTCCAGTGTTTGTGGTCTCTCAGTTTAATTGCTATCCTGTTTCACTCTACAGTTTTTCCTACGATGGCAGGTGGAAGCAGAAACTACAGACCTCTGTGGATTTCCCATTAGAGAATCTTGACTTGTCACAGTATGTTATTGGTCCAAAGAACAATTTGAAGAAATATAATTTGTTTTCTGTTTCAGTAAGTATCTTGTTGGAACTAAATCCTTTCTCTAAGCAAACTATAAAAATAAGAGTTTCATGTGGTTCCTTAACCTCCTAGGAAAATAACATAAAGCTTTGAAGTATTTAAAATAGGACAATAATTTCAGTTTGAACTGATTTTCTATCTTTTTGGCACAGAATCACTATGGTGGGCTGGATGGAGGCCACTACACTGCCTATTGTAAAAATGCAGCAAGACAGCGGTGGTTTAAATTTGATGATCATGAAGTTTCTGATATCTCCGTTTCTTCTGTGAAGTCTTCGGCAGCTTATATCCTCTTTTATACTTCATTGGGACCACGAGCAACTGATGTAGCCACATAAGGAGAAGTAGGTTCTAAGCTAGTTATCTTTTAAGAAGCTGAGCAACACAACTCTTGACATGCTTATAAAGATACTGGATAAATACAGCTGGCCATTGAGAGGAATTCTAAGACCGTGGGAGCTGTGTTACTATCACCATATACTTTAGGTCAGTGCCATTATCGAAAAACTGACTAATAACATTTAACGAGTATTGCAGTTAAGCACTCCTTACAGGTACCATTTATTTCAAAACCTTTTATAGTTTGCTCCAAAGTTAAAATAATTAAGCATTATTCTTCTCCTGGTCTAAAAACCATTATATCCTTTCTTTTCCTTTTCACTGTTATGGCCTTTTCACATTTCTAAATCCCAGCTTGATCTATGAATACTCTAGAATGATGTAAAGCAGATAGGAATGTATGTGTATATATTTATTGCACACTTGCACATCAAATCAATGTACATAGTATAATAACGTGGTCCTTGTGTGAAGCCTAGAACTCAGAGGACTGTTTGTTTTTCCTTTTTCTTTTGGCCTATTCTGAGTAACTGCAGTGCTTTCTTAGGGAAATGACAGGGCAAAGCTATTTTTTTGTTGGCTTTGGGCTGTATTTGTGCACTAAATCTTTATTCTAAAAAATAAATGGAAACTTTTCTTTAATTTTTTAAAATGAGAATTTTCATTTACACCTACATTAAAATCTTAATGAGAAAAATAATTTAAAACCCTGTAAGTGTTCTGTCTTTATTTTTTTATCAAACCATTTTATATACACACACACTTTATCCTATGTGACTTAAAATTTAGTTCACTTATCCTGTTGTATTAGGACTTGATTTTACTCTTCCTTCAACTTGACCCAGAACTGTATAAAGCACTTATTTAGAATTCTCAAGAGTTGGGAATCAGGATTAAAATTAAAAGGGATAGGGATCGGGAATGACTACAGAATAAACTGCATTAAGAACCACATCTTTGTGGGGCGCCTGGGTGGCGCAGTCGGTTAAGCGTCCGACTTCAGCCAGGTCACGATCTCGCGCTCCGTGAGTTCGAGCCCCGCATCAGGCTCTGGGCTGATGGCTCAGAGCCTGGAGCCTGTTTCCGATTCTGTGTCTCCCTCTCTCTCTGCTCCTCCCCCGTTGATGCTCTGTCTCTCTCTGTCCCAAAAATAAATAAATGTTGAAAAAAAAAAAATTAAAAAAAAAAAAAAAAGAACCACATCTTTGCAAAGTGATGTATTAAAAGAGAGGAGCTGAGAATGTATTATTTACCTCACAAGACTCAGGTGCTATAGATGAAGTCAGTAAAAACTCCCCATTTAAAAATATGATTCTAGAAGTTGCTTCTGAAAGATGCCACTATGAGTAAAGATGAGTCTTGAATCGTGAGGTTGGCATCTTTTCATATTCTGCAGTTGGTCTAAGAATCTTAGAGTTCTTGGCTAAATTATCAGATCAATGAAATATTTCCAAATCATAAGGTCACAGAGCCACTTGAACAAAACTTACTTTGTTTAGCTCCATGAAGTATCTTTGGAGAATACTTTGTTGCATATATATAATTGAGGTATTTTAGGTTTAAAAATATCCATCCTAATAGACATTGAATTTTGAAACCTGAAATTAATACATACTTTGCTGTGCTTTGCAGGGCCCCATCCATTAGCATTTCATCATGCTGCCTTTTTCTGGAGGCCAGGACCTCTCTTCTCTGCTAGAGGCTTATCATATAAAAAAGTGCATAATACAGTAGAAAGAGTGAAAATTATGTTGGATGTAAGTAAATTGCAAGAGTTTAATGACAAAGCAAACCTGAAGTACCAGTTTCTGATTGCTTGTTTTGCAGTTTTCAGTTCTGCAGTTTTGCACCATTTTCCTAGCTCTTGCATTTTTTTATAGGTATAGAAAAGGGCTGGCAACTGTAGAACAGGAGATAGGCTGTAGCAGTTTGCACTGAAGTATCTGGAATCTCACTGACTCGTGTGTCATCAAAGCTATACCAGGCCTGGGTCACTGAGTTCTTGCAGAAAGCAGTGTAGTGGCCACCGTCCAGATCACCAAAGTGGTTCTAGGGGAAGAATGAATGTCAGACTTAATATTCCCAAGCAGATAACTCTACTGGAACAAAAAAAGGTATAGCCAAGAAATATTTTTCACAATTGTCCCTTACACTAAATTAAAAGGAGAAGGTAATGTTGTTAAATGATAGATATGGCCTGACTGCTACAATATTTTTCATCCATTGAACTGCTTATACATTGGGCCTATCGACTAAAGAATCTATGAATGAAATAGTTTAGTATTTGGCAGCATCTAATATTTATGACTGAATACTGAGCATCTACTATACATAGACTATTAAACGTTAAAGTAGTTGGGGCACCTGGGTGGCTCAGTCGGTTAAGCATCCAACTTCAGCTCAGGTCATGATCTCACGGTTCGTGAGTTCAAGTCCCGCGTCGGGCTCTGTGCTGACAGCTCAGAGCCTGGAGCCTGCTTCAGATTCGGTGTCTCCCTCTCTCTCTGCCCTTCCCCTGCTCACACTCTCTCTCAAAAATAAACATTAATTAAAATTTTTAAAAACATTGAAGATTTTAAAATAAGATAGTCCTCTTTCCTAAATGAGCCTACAGTTTAATTTTAAAGATAGGAAAAAGGACATTTAACATTGGGACAAGACAGTTAACTGCATATTGCTCCTACACAATTTGAGGGGTTATGCGACAACAACCCCCTTGGTCATGTAGCATCCAGAAAAGAACCTATTCCATTCTCTTTTCTCTGTCTTTCCTAACCCCGTAAAGGAATGTTTGAAACCGGCACTGGAGAACCTCACTTTGGTGTGGACTGTGAGGAAGAATGCATTTCATATTTTTGTATGGTTGAAAAAATATTTTGTGACCTGAACATTATAAGAATCTCAAATTACAGCAAGTAAAGTTTCATGGGAACACAGCTATGCTCATTCATTTTATATCTTTTAGTAGCTGCCTTCACACAACAATAGTAAAGCTGAATAGTTGCAGTAGAAACTGCTGGCCAACAAAGCCTAAAATATTTACTGTCTGGCCTTTTACAGAATAAGTTTGCTGACCCCTGGTATAGAGGGCAGAAGATGGTCAATTATAGTCATTTAGTAGTCAGTATAGAATTGATAGTGAGTTCAGCTCTAATACTACACAATGGCTTTAAGGTGTATTTAACCTTCCTGAGCTTTAATTTCCCCATCTATTAAAATGGGGTAATAAAATATGTCTTGTCTTACATAGCAGTTATCAGATGTCTTTGAAATTACGGAAGTACCACATAGGAGATACTTACTAAATATTCCCTTAGACCTTCATCTTCCCTACCTCTCACTTTACATGTTACAGAAATATCCCAAAGTTGACATTTAAAAGATCCGAGCTCTAGTCCTGGTCCTTGCCCTGTGACCTTATTTGGGGGGCTATTTTGAGAATTATTTGAGGGGTGCTTGGCAAAAGGAAAGAACTATATTCTGTTTCTGGATAGATGTGCTTTCATTCAGGCTGTACAGGACACCCACATATAGAATGTTCTTGAACATTCTAAAAAATGACCATGAACATAATACACAGTGCTATAAGCTTAAGATGTTATATATGAGCCTCATGGTAACCAGAAGCTCATAACATTGAACAGATGCACAAAAATTAAAGAGAAAACCAAACCTAACACTACAGAAATCATCAAGCACAATAAAAGAAAGCAAGAGAATAAAGGATCAGAGAAAGACCACAAAAACAACCAGAAAACAAAATGGCAATAAGTTTACTTACCAGTAATTAAATGTAAATGGCCTAAATCCTCCAATCAAAAGACATAGGGTGGTGGAATTGATTTAAAAAAGCACACACATAAACCGTCTATATGTTGCTGGCTACAAGACACTCAACCTCACACCTAAAGATGCATACAGATTGAAAGTGAAAAAACAGCATGCAAATGGATGTGGAAAAAAAAAAAAACCATGCTTCTATCAGAAAAAATAAACTTGTTTTTAATTTTTTTCAATGTTTGTTTTTGAGAGAGAGCAGGGGAGAGGCAGAGAACGAGACACAGAATCTGAAGCAGGCTCCAGGCTCTGAGTTGTCAGCACAAAGCCTGAAGCAGGCTTTAACCCATGAACTGTGAGATCATGACCTGAGCCAAAGTTGGACACTTAACCACCCAACTGAGCCACCCAGGTGCCCGAGATAAAATAAATTTTAAAACAAAAACTGTAAGAAGAGACAAAGAAGGGCATTACATAACAGTGAAGGAATCAATCCAACAAGAGGAGCTAAAAATTGTAAATATCTATGCATCCAACATTGGATTACCTAAATATATAAAGCAAATATTAACAGATGTAAAGAGATAAATTGGTAATATAGTATAGGGAACTTGAAAACCCCAGTTACATCAGGGCCCCTGGGTGACTCAGTCACTTGAGCATCCAACTCTTGATTTCAGCTCAGGTCATGATCCCAGGGTCATGGGATCAAGCACCACGTTGGACTTTTGGCTGAGTGTGGAACCTGCTTAAGATTCTCTTTCTCTCTCTCTCTCTCCCTCTGCCATGCCCAGCCGCCCCGCTTTTACTCTCTGATAAAAATTAAAAAATAAAAATCATTATAACAGCCGCATCAATGAATTAGATCATGGAAAAGAAAAATCAATAAGGAAACTGTCTTTGAGTGAATCATTAGACCAGGTGGACATAAAAGATCTATACAAACATTCCATACAAAAACAAGAGAACAGACATTCTTTTCAAGTACATCTGGAACATTCTCCATAATAGAACATATGCTAGGCTCCAAAGTGGTGGTAAATTTAGAAGGTGGGTGAAACCAGAGTACAAATTTTGCTGCAATCCGTTAGCGTCCGACTTCAGCAGGTCACGATCATGAGTCATTGATTCGAGAGCCTGCAGCGTCGAGCTCTGGGCTGATGGCTCCGGTCTGTGTCTCCCTCTCTCTCTGCCCTCCCCGTTCATGCTCTGTCTCTCTCTGTCCCAAAAATAAAATAGCGTTGAAAATTAAAAAAAAAAAAAAAAAAAGACTTCCATATCATGCATCTTTTTCACATTACAACAGTATGAAATAAATCAATCACAAGAAAAACACAATCAGCGGAGGCTAAAAAACATGAAATACTAACAACTTCCGAGTCAATGAAGTAATCAAAAAAGTTATAAAAATACATGAAAACAAGGAAAATACAATGATCAAACCTTTGGGATGCAGCAAAAAACAGTTCAGGGGCAGTTATAACAATACAGGCCTACCTCAGAAACAATCTCAAACAACTAACTTTGACCACCTAAAGGAACTAGAAAAAACAAAAACAAATAAAGCCAAGGTTAATTGAATGGGGAGAAAGTAATAGATATAAAAGAAGCCAAAGTATAGAACAAAAAAAAATAGAAAAAAAATTAATGAAAATAGTTCCTTGAAAAAGATAAAATTGATGAACCCTTAATGAACTCATCATCAAAAGAAAACAAGAAATAAATAAGTAAAAAGAAAGAAAGTAACAACTAACAGCACAGAAATACAAAGGGTTATAAAGAAAACATTGTGAAAAAAGTATGTACCAACAGCAACCAATTGGAAAACAGAAGAAATGGATAAATTCCCTATGAAATATACAATCAAAATTCAATCAGAGGAAGGAAATAGAAAAACCTGAACCAATGACTAATAACAAAAAATGAATTGGTTTTTCAAAAAACCTAAAAAAAAATTAAAGTCCAAGGGACCAGATGGCTTCACAGGTGAACTATACCATTTAAAAAGAAGACTTTACTTATGGGGCCCCTGGGTGGCATATGATGGATTGGCGTCGACTTCAGCCAGATCCTTGATCTCATGATCCGTGGTTGAGCCCAGCGTGGGGCTCCTGGGCTGATGGCTGAACCCTGGAGCCTGTTTCTGATTCTGTGTCTCCCTCTCTCTCTCACCCCTCCCGTTCATGCTCTCTCTCTGTACCAAAATAAAATAGCATTGAAAAAATAAATAAATAAATAAAGAAGACTTTATACCTATTCTCTTCAAACCTTCAAAAATAGAAAGTAAGGAAAGCTTTCAAGTTCTATGAAGCCAGCATCACCCTGACACCAAAACCCAAGACACCACAAAAAAAAAAAAAAAAAAAAAAAACTACAGGCAAATATCCTGATGTACATGAAAATTACAAAAAAATCCTCCACAAAAATATTAACAAATTTGCATTCATCTAGATGATGAGGATCATTCACCATGCTCACTTCAATAGCATCTACTAACATGGGAGGAATGATACAGAGATTATCATACAGAATCATTCAAATTTTGTGACATATTAAAAAAAAAAAATCATTCACCACAATCATTGGAATTTATTCTGGGGCTGCAAGGATGGTTCAATATTACAAATCAATAAACATGATACACTATATCATAATAAAACATAAAAATCTGATAATATCATCATCTGCATCTCAATAGATGCAGAAAAAGCATTGACAATGCAACATCATTCATAAAAACTCTCAAAAGAGTGGCACCTGATTTGTCAGTTAGTTAGTACCTGGCCTTGTTCAACTCAGTTCTTCTGGTTTTTGTGGGATTGAGCCCATGTCAGGCTCTGTGCTGCTGCAGCCTGCCCGGTCCTAGCACTTCTCTCTCTGCCCCCCCCTGCTCTGCTCGTACATGCTCTCTCTCTCCCTGTTTCTCTCAAAAATAAAGTAAACATTACAAAAACAAAAAAACCTCAGCAATTGGTTTTAAAGGAACATACAACAAAGGATATATATGACCAAATTCATAGCTAACATTCAGTGGTGAAAAATGATGTATGTGGAGAATGGCTAAGGCAAGAGAAAATATATGGGAAAAAAAATTTTTTAAATTTTAACAAGTACTAAGACAGGTGAGGTGACCTTTTTTTCTCAAGGAGGAGCTTAGCTGCCTTCATGTTAATCGCCTTTGCGCCTTTAGAGGCAAAGGCAACCTTAATATGACATTGAAAGCTGGACCTCCAGGATCACCAATCCCCTTGAAACTTTGTTTATCTCCTCCT